CGCGTACATGCAGCTCCTCAGCAGATGCTGTCCCAGACCCGGACACGGGGCTCCTGATGCTTCAGCTGATGCACAAAGGCTCCGTGCTCTTCCAGCTAGATGAAAAAACACGAACCTGCTTACAGTCTGCCCCTGCCACCGTCAGCGTGGGACTCTTCCAGGGGCAGAAGGTGACCGTGTGTGAGCTTCTCTTCTCAAAATTCGTCCTTGAACAGAAAAGGCAGGAGCTTCTGAAGAAGTACAAAGCGGGGACGCTAACCATGCAGAAAATGACACCCATCATCCCCGCCCTCATCACCGAGGCAGAGCAAAAGAGCAGCCGAGAGCCCAGGCCCGTGAAAAGTCCGAGCACGCAACGGGCAACGTCACAGAAGGCCGGGGCTGCCCATTCGCAGAGAGATGAAAAACGGGAAAAGGCCTTAAAGACTACGACAGTCGACGGGCCGGGGGGCGAGTTCCAAGGGCGAAAGGTCTCTGTGTGGGATCTGCTCTTCTCCAAATACGTCCTTGAAGAGAAAAGACAAGAGCTTCTGAAGAAGTACAAAGCAGGGACGCTAACCATTCAAGAAATGATAACCGTCCTCACCACCATCATCACCGAGACAGAGAAAAAGAGCGGCAAACAGCCCAGCGGGGTGGAAGGCCCCTGCCGAGAGGAGAGAACATCCGGGAGAGCTGCCAGCGCCCCTTCTCCACAGGACCAACAAGCGGAAAAGACTCTCCGGCTCGCGACCGTCGACGTATCGGTCGGCGAGTTCCAAGGGCGAAAGGTCTCCGTGTGGGAACTTCTCTTCTCCAAATACCTCTCGGAAGAGAAAAGGCAGGAGCTCCTGGAGAAGTACAGAGCGGGGACCGTGACTCTGGAGGAGCTGGTCAGAATCCTCACCACCATCGTTGAGCAGACAGAAGAGAGAAGCAGCAAAGTGAAGTTCTCAGGCCTCAGGAGGCAGGTGACTGCCTCAGAGCTGTTCAGCTCTGACATTATTGACCAGGACACGCTGACTGAACTCACCCAGGGCACCAAGACGGTGCAGGAGATCACGGAAATGGATTCCGTAAAGAGATACCTGGAAGGAACTAGCTGCATTGCCGGAGTCCTGGTGCCGTCCAACACGGACCCGTCCAAGACAGAGAAGATGAGCATCTACCAGGCCATGGGGAAGGGCATTCTGAGGCCGGGCACCGCGCTGGTGCTGCTGGAGGCGCAGGCTGCCAGCGGCTTTATCACCGACCCGCTGAAGAACGAGAAGCTGTCCGTCGATGAAGCCGTCTCCGCCGGCCTGGTGGGCAGTGAGATTCACGAGAAGCTGCTCTCTGCAGAGAGAGCAGTGACCGGCTACACTGACCCCTACACGGGCAACAAGATCTCCCTCTTCCAGGCCATGGGGAAGCGCATTCTGAGGCCGGGCCCCGCGCTGGTGCTGCTGGAGGCGCAGGCTGCCAGCGGCTTTATCACCGACCCGCTGAAGAACGAGAAGCTGTCCGTCGATGAAGCCGTCTCCGCCGGCCTGGTGGGCAGTGAGATTCACGAGAAGCTGCTCTCTGCAGAGAGAGCAGTGACCGGCTACACTGACCCCTACACGGGCAACAAGATCTCCCTCTTCCAGGCCATGAAGAAAGCCCTGATAGTCAAAGACCACGGCATCCGCCTGCTGGAGGCCCAGATCGCCACCGGCGGCATCATCGACCCCGTGCACAGTCACCGCCTCCCCGTGGAGGTGGCGGACAAGCGGGGCTACTTCGACGAAGAGATGAACCGCATCCTCT